CATTATGATTTTAAAGTCACTTCTTATAATTTAGAAAGTATACAATCAAGAGTGAATTCTAAAAAAAAAAAGAGAGAGAAACCAAAGGTGATAATAATTTACTAAACTACATTTTTAAGTGTTTATGTGCTAGATTCATAATATATAAAGACAAAACATTTTCTGTTATTCTGTTCTTTGTATTTTCATATTCATTTATGTTCAAAGTTCTAGGAAAATACTGTATTATACTTAAATGAAAAATATCAATTGACAGTATTACAAGATGTTTGTTATTATTGATAACTTTTAATTTCAAAATACTAAAAGCTCAAGTAGATATTCTGTCCATTTACAGCTAGAATACTAGCAGTAACAACAGCATTAGCATTTAATCAGCTTTAATCTATTTCAGGCAAATGGTTTTCATGGCTTTTCTCATTCAGTCCTTACAACAATCCTATGAAGTGGGCAGAGTTATTGCCCACTTATACAGTATGCCAGTGACATGTAATGAGAGATGGAATGCCTGCCTGTCACCCAGTTAGAATGTGGGGGAGCTGAGGTTAGAGTCTCAGCCTTCCAACACTGGAGTAGAGACTCTCACTACCCCACACACAGGGTCCCACAGGTCCACACTCGAGGAGAACAAGTGGTCTCAGAAATAATCGCTTAGTCTTCCCAGCTCTTATGGACCCAGGGTCCAGTGAACTCCCAGCTTGCAGATCCAGCTAGAATGAGATTCCACCCATAAAATCAAGGTGTGGCCTTTTATGTCCTTGTATAGGACAGATGGCAAACCCTTTAGAAAAAAATAATTTCTTCAGTGTTGCTATATCTACAGTTCAGCTGCAGCTGACAGGTGGCTCAATTGAGCTGTCACAATGCGTGGACCATTCTTGTGTGCCAGCGATGGAGAAATAGGACAAGGCTACAACCAGTTATTGCCACCTTTTACATATAAATGTAACTGTTAAAAAGTGTAAATATTGATTAAACCCTAGTGACCTTAGTTAGTATATTATCTCCTGGAGCCAATATGTATTGTAAATCCAACTTCCTATTTTCCCAGCCTCACTGCTCTGTCCTGTAGGGCCACTGGGTTAACTCCAGTGTGAAAGCATTGTCTTCTACGGCTCTTGCTTCTCCTCCCCTCCATGCTGCGTTCTGAGATTGAATGTCAGTGCTGGGCATGGAAGCATACCGTTCTGGCTACATTTTTAGCTTTGCATTAATGAGCTACTTTCTGAGTTCTTCTAATTTCAGGAACTAGGCTCAACTTTCATCTACACTTGTTTCATGAATCTTGTTAATCTGACACTACCCCTGCCTTCGATAGTCTGAGCATTTAAGATGTATTTCTCCGTTTTTTCCAGTGACACCAAAGTTGAACACCAAATCAACCAGGACTATCGGCAGGGCCCTGATGCTGTACCTCTTACCCACCCTCCTGTTAGGCCCCCACCTCCTCTTCCTGCTTTCTCACCTC